TTCTCCCTGAATATACATCTATTCGGCCTATTTGTTTATCCTGATTCTTATTTAACCGCGTTAATTTTTATCATTTAAGTCTTCCATATTCTCATATAGGGGAAGACAAATACTGTAGATTTAAAGAATGTGACTCTGGAGTTAAGATAGTTCATCACCTCCCTACCAAGCCCCCTGCCTTCAGTAACCTCATCTTATTCAATCATTCTGAGTACCATGAGGACACGCTTTACATAAAAGTCCATAGTCATTCTTTCCCTGAAATTATGGACTTAGCTGTTGGTCTGACTACTTAGTGTTATATACTTGGTCATCAGGAATTTTTCCTCTAACCACAATCACCCAAGCTCTTCAGTATTTCAGCTGCTGTCAACTCTGCCATGTTTGTCATTGCCAGTTACATACAAACTATCCATTTAGTCATTTCACCAGTCTGATTCTATTCCCAAAACATTTCTCAACCTCCAAAGCTCTATGGTGAGCCTTTAATCCTATAACCTTTAATTGTCCATGGTAGTTATGCAATGGCCAACCAATTCTCTAATAAACTAAACTTATCAAGATTGCATCTTTTAAAATAGATGGGGAATCACATCCTTTTCCTACTCACATCAAAAGTCAAAGTTTTCAGGAAAACTTTCTAGGACTTGGAACACACAATACGTGTTACTTCTCTATAGTACTATCTACAACTTTCTGTGTTGGCTTTCTCTCTCTCTCTCTCTCTCTCTCTCTCTCTCTCTCTCTCTAGTTCTTGGTCCTACAGCTCAGGAGGTATACTCTTGATACTGATTAGAGTTGCCTATTTGCCATAAACCCAAATGACTAATGATATTGCCAATTTGAATTAGTTACCCATGTATTACCTTCTGGGCTGTCTTCCTTAACTATATACAACTCCAAGTTTTCGTTTTGATATTTGTCTTACTCAGCTCTGTCTTGCATAGTATTTATAATATAACATTTGTACAGACAGGTGAACTCAGGTGACAACTTATATTCCTTCTCCCTTTCCAAGATAGGGTAGCCCTGTGTAGCCCTGGCTGTCCTGAAACTCACTCTGCAAATCAGGCTGGCCTCAAACTCAGAGTCTGCCTGTTTCTGCTTCCTGAGTGCTGGGATTAAAGGCATGTGGCACCACCATTATACACCCCATTGAAAAATTGTAGTTCTTAAAACTATAGACCAATAACTTTGCACATAAACAGGTACTTAGAATGATTATAAAGATCAATTAGAAAAAAGTTAGGACATTGTAGAAACTGATCAAAGAAATGAACTGACTTGTATGCTTACTGAGCAGTTGTCATAGTGCATGTGTTTATGTTAAGTGATTGGTGATTATGAAATATAAAGTTAGAAAGATAACATGGTAATGAATTGTATGGAACAACATACCAGTTTGTATTAAGGTATTATGTATCTAAATCATTTTGTCATTGATATGAAATATTACAAGCTGGATCCTTTCATTCTCTAGTGATATTTTACCCAGAAATTTTATGTAATGTTTAGGATCAAGACAAGTATCTCAAAATGAGGTTGAACAAATTATTGATTTTTACTTATTTGTTCACACATCAGATTATCCTCATTATTATTAAAGTTCTTGCACGTTAAAAATTGACATTTCCATTACACTTGATATTGTGTTTGAAGTGTAAACCTATGGTATGAGGAGCAATGACAAAGACAGAGTGCCAAGCCACTGCTATTTGAAGTCCCCTAGGACTTGGGTTAATTAATGAGACTCATCCTAGAGTTATGCATGATCTATTACTTCCTCTAATTAGAAATAATAATCCTGATCATTATACTGGTTAGCTGAAAAGGAGGAAGATGAATGTGCCTAACTATGATTAATCTTCTTTAAGCAGTGTAGACCTCTCATGTCAATGAGTTATATGCAAACTGGGCTGCAATTCAATGCTTTTCCATGACATGGACATTTTAAAGCTCACAGAGAATTAATTCTCTGGTATATATTTTTATCTTACCTCAAAAAACCCCAATAATTATTTTGTCCCAACAATGATAAGCAACCATAATATATTTTCCACTTTGCACAAAATCATTAAGAGTTTTTCTTTTCAATTTTTACATTCTCTTCAAAACTATGTAAATTCCCATATCCAAGGTGAATTCAATTATGTTGTGGATAATACACCAACTTATCTAAACCTTTTTTCAAACTCACAGTTTTATTTTTTGTTACTGTTTTGTCTAAATTGATGATTGAATTGGCCAACTGAAAACTGTATGTGACAATTTCATATATCAACATTGTTATGAAGGTTATTACTGTCTTATAACCACAAAGGTAAAAAAATATTGATCATCTGTGTTTTAATATTACCGTCCCTGTCAATATAAAGCTAAATATATCAACTTTGCCTCAATAAATATTAAAATATAACTTATATCTATGTCACTGCATCATACCAAACTTCCATGTTACTCTGAATACAACATTCACTTCTTACTTTAAAGTGGGATCATTCAATTTTGACTATTTAATCTTAGGAAAGATAAAACATAGTCATTACTGTTCCAGTGAATACATTACTGTTGTTTAAGACCTTGAAACAATATTTAAAAAATGCATGAGAAAACAAAGTGTTCAGACGTTTAACACTTACACAGGTTTGGATTTGTTGAATAAGATAAAAGATATTGTAGGCATTAAACACAGAATCTAAGCCAAAGCATTCCTCAGTCAGACTTTGGCTCTATCATCTACTATTGGCAAGGACATGGAGAATTTTTTAAATTTAGAACATCAAAACAATAGTTTCTAAAGTGATAACAAGAAGTATAAAGACCCCAAGATCCTGTTAGTAGAGAGAATCATCAAACATTAATGTATGCAAAATATAGGTAGAATAGTGCCATAGTGCTAAGGAGCAGAACAAATGATCCATGCCTGTTTTTCATAATGAGAAATATGTACCTAATATGTACTTAAATTTACAAATTGATCTTTTAGGCAGTAACCCAGAGTTATTTGCCATTTTAATTGATTAGTCTTTCTAATTTTTGTATTAAATGTAAGTGTTGATTGTCTTTGGCAAAAATTTTTCGGATCACACAGTCAAAGTTTTGCTATCAAAATTGTGAGTAGATGTCAAATTTGAGATGAGTCACATGTAATATTATTAAACATGTTGATATGATTTCCAAAATGACACAGACATAGTCTTATATAATTGAATTTTATATACATGAATATAATAGCTTCTTTTTAAAATTTCTTTTTATGCTTGCATTTAATTACTTGGGAAAGAGTTTCTATTTGTAATATAACTTAGTAAATTACAAAAAAAATATCTCATTGTCCATAGGTAAGCAATTATTTGTTGCTGAAGTTTGTTGCCCCAACATGTCTTGCCGCCCTTCTAAGCCCCAAGAAAGCACACAGAGACATATATTAATTATTAAACTGTTAGTCAATGGCTAGGGCTTCTTATTGGTTAGTTCTCTCTTAATTATTAACCTACTTATATTACTCTAAATATTTCCACGTGGTCATATCTTACCAGAGGAGGGGCCAGAACTGTTACTCCTTCCTCCACTACATAACAACTCCTTTTACACCCTAGGGCTGCCTATCTTTCCTGAATTCTCCTAGTCTCTTAGTCCCACTTCTCTTCTAGCCTCTATTGGGCAAACAGTGTTTTATTCATCAACTAGTAAAAGAAACATATATGCAGAAGGATATCCCTCATCATCTCCTCTTTTCTGTCTAAATAAAAAGAAATGTTTTAACTTTAACATAGTAAAATTACATACAACAAAACAGTTATCAAATAAGAACTGTAGTTAAAAGTATTTAGAGAGTCCTCAAAGCCCTTCTTTACCTTCTGGTCACATCCGCACCTGAAGCCATGCTCAAAGGGATGTGGCCACTAACACAAATTCACTGGCAAGGTGAGATGCAACTAGAATTATTATTTAAGTTTCATGAATTTTTGAATTTTCTTATTAAGCAATTATTAGACATATTCAGCTTACTCTTAACTGTGCTACTTATTATGGGTTATGAAGTATCATAAATAAAATACAATTACAAAAGATAAAATCATTAATTAAATCTGTTTAAAATTAATATTTAGTGGAATCACATGATTTGTATGTAAATGTGTGCCACAGCCATCCATGTGGTAAGCAGTTGCTAAGAAGTCTGAGACTTCAAATACATTAAGAAGAGAAGGAATTACAGTTCAGACAAGCATGTAGGTGAAAAATGAAATAATCATACAGGTCTAAAGATGAAAACAATGTTGTTATCAAATACTCATTATTTATTAGCATGAGGAAATTAGTTAAATAGATTTACTGCATGATGTAGTTAGATAAGATGGATTTTTATGTCAGAGGTCATAGTTATAATTCATAGATTTATAAAAAAAATTAAACCACTTCTCTTTGTCTAACCTAGAAATATGCATGATGTTTGAGTTTAATTTAAAATGCAGAAATGAGGATATATTAACTTGAAACCTCATTTTATTATTTTATTTAAAAGGCAATTGTTTATAATGCATTTTTTTCTTTTCTAAAGGCATTACTTCACAATTAACTATTTAATATTAGACTCAGTCTTTACATGTGTGTCTGCATGTGTGAGTATGTATGTGTGTGTGTGTGTGTGTGTGTGTGTGTGATTACAACTGGATAGAGACAGGTAATATGTGTAAATAACACATCTGTACATAATAAAGTTTTATATTAGTTCTAACTTTCAGGCTCACAGATGAATTTTTGCCAATTTCATTTAAAATGGAGATAACATTATAAATGATTAATCTACCCAGAATGTCATTCTGTCAATCAAGTATAAGATTGACATTTTGATAAATTAATAATGATCTTTCTTGAAGAAATCTACTGAGATAATATAAATGATAAAAGAATGTGTTGATAACTGAACATATGCCCTCTCAGAATAAAAAAGTAACAAATATGAATGGTACTGTAATTTGAATTTTTGAAACCCTTACCTGCAAACCTTGTCCATCCATAGTAACAGAGTTAGCTCTTTGCATTTTGTTCTTGTCTGTCACTTTATTTGGCTGCTGGGAGCTGCCCTTTTCCTTTTTAGCTGTTGATTGTCTATCCTGTAAAAAAATTTAAAAAATATATTTGATAAATTATACTAAAACTTAAGAGGCATAAATGGTTTAAATGGGAATCTTTTACAAAGACATCCATAATTATAAACTTGGGGCCAATTAGCTAATCTGGAATATTTTCTGAAAACTAAATAGTTTTTTCTTTCAATCAAATCAATATATTTCATATCAACATGATTGAAATATTATATCAGTTAAAGATACATGGGGAAGAAATCAAAATTTGAATGATCCATACACACCCAGTATCAAAAGTTTGTAAGAACTACTATAATTTATTACTTTTGTTAACAATAAGGTAAATAAATTAAAATTTAAAGATTTTGATAATAAGCACTAAAAGTAGTACTTATAAATATATTCAACATTGAAAATGATTTTTAACTGAATGATGAATTTTGAGGCTACTGGGTACTTTAATAATTGTTATGTATTGGGAAATTCAGTTTCTACTTCTAATTCTTTTGTTTCCACAATGAAATAAACAGAAGAACAAGTAAATAAACCTATGATATGTGTCTGAATATGTATACAGAATAAGAATTGCTTGCTGCTTTCCTCTCTTTTCTCTTTTCTTATCTTTTTAAACCAATCAGCAATTATCACCATTACTCAGCTTTTATTAAAATCATCATTAAGCTTCTCATTGATACACTGAATGGTGTTTTCCTCTACCTAAACCACATTTGTGACAGAATGAATTTCTTGCTATGTCTTGAACTTATGCCTTCTTCTGCTTTGAGGACGTGGCTTCTCCTCATGTCTCTCCTCATACTTCACTATTTGCTGTCTCAGTCTCATTTAATCTTACTCTTTTATCCTCTTTTGAATCTATAATAAGCCTCTCCTTGGCCCAATCATCTTGACAGCATATGTTTGCATCCAAGTTACCGTCTTTCCATGACAAACCTTTCAATTACAATTTCATGAAGAATTTTACATCCATAATTTCAATTCATATCTCATCCTAAAACTTAGCTCTTATACACAAATGGCCTTTTAATCTGTCCTTCTCAGTATCTAAAACATTTATCATTGCTTGAGTAATTACACACTACCCACCAATAGCTTAATAAGTATACTACTATCATTTTTCCTACATTTTTGTAATTATTGCCTAGTAGACCAACAGCCTTTTAACTTCCCATAGCCAATACTCTACAAATCTGACACACCCCTTTTGCTCTGTCTAGCTGCTCTGGCATCCTCATTGTCCCTTGATGATGCAAACCTTTATCACTGCCTGGTACCCGTCGAGGCAAACAGATAAAGAATCAAATAACAACTAAGATTGAAACACTAAATTTTTTGAAGTTCATTAGATATTGCATTTAGAATTCTTGGATGACATCTAGTTTCAATAAGAAACAATATGATAATTGATTAGTAATGTCTGGCCATGGGCACCTTACTGGTTTAGTGCCCATATACTTCCTATTACTACTTTACATGCATATCATATTAACTCTAGATACTTGTTTATGTGGGATTTTATTTTCTTTAATTTGGATGGAAATTCATGTATAACTTTAAAAGAAAGGTTATTTTAAATAATAAGTGGTATATATATATATATATATACATATATATACATATATATTCATATATATTTTTATATGAAATCTTCTTGAAAATAATAATCAATGTAGTTCACTTACCTTTCAAATTCACTGAATGTATTTCTGATATGTCTAAAAGTGGGTGGTGTATTAGCATTCCTCTTATTTAAATTCTTTGTGGTTTCTTTTCATACAATGAAAATGGTGGGTTTTTTTCATATAAGCATAATTTCTGGTAAAGCACTGATATTTTTGTAAGAATTTTTTCTAAGTTTAGAAATTATGAGTTGATTCACAGATATTTCTAAACAGTACAATGCGTATGAAGATTCCATTACAAGCTGAAATTAGAAATTAGGAAGTGTGGGTTGAATCACACCTACTACATAATCCCGAGCTCCTATACAAAACTATGATCGTTTTAATTTTACAGATTTGTCTAGATTTAGTAGAATAAAAATATATAAATTCTTGAGTACTCTATCTCATTTAGAGTATGTGTCCTATAAACAGAAAGTACAAAATGGGTATACTTTCCATTCAGGGGCTCACTGGTATTTCTATTAGAAAGAAGTTCATAGTTTCAAATTCACATTGATGAAAAAAAAAAAAACATTCACTATATCAGTCACATATTCAAAGAACCTAGGTTAGTGCTTGTATGTGAAAGTGCTCAACTGTGTCAGTTCAAAAATAAATGCTATGATGCATGGAGATAAAATAGCTTATTTCTGTGTCCTTTGATTCAGGTATATAAGGTACGGGGTCAATACGCTACTGTGAAGAACACTTCTAAGCAAAGGTTCTGCCAAATGATGCACTAATTGTTATTTAGCATTAAATTTCTAAAATGCTAGCATAATAAGAATCACAAAACTCATGGTGGTTAGTTTCTTTGTAAGTGATAATTTTGCAGTGTGTGTCTGTGGGGGGGTTGGGGGGTGTATACCACACTGAAAATGTATAACAAGAAACACTGGACTATAGATATCTAAAAAAGCTGTGCTTTAGTTATTATTATCATTGAGCATTTATAAAACTGGGAAATCCCATGTGTGTTAAGACCCTCCAATTGGCAGTAAAAGCACATAATAAATGAACCATTTTCCTGGAATCTCTGTGGATAGCATTATATAAATTCTGTAGAACATAAATTTATGAAACATTGAAACATTAAAAAATTAAAACTCAAAATTCAGTTTTCAGCTGATGAGCTTTTATTTTTGAAATCTAGAGCCATATTAAAATGACTATAAAACAATTTCCAAAATCATCAGTAGAGTGGGAAGGGATGATTGGCTTATTGCATTTGCCTGCCTCTCTAAGCCCACACTACACAAAAGGCACATGATGTTTATTGTATATTTCTGCACATAGTTTACCAATACTAAAAGAGTACATATTAATTTAAAACACATATTTCAAGAAAAACAAGGGTATGTCTTTGTTTGGGAAGAAATTTAGTTGTCTTAATTTAGAAAAGTAATCAAGACTGTAAATATGTAAATAAACGGATAGGAGAATATAATGGTTTAATTGCCCCCAGTGGTTGCTCATTGTAATACTCATTTGTTTAACATCTGTTTCCAACCTGTCTGTGAGTTTTATGAGACTTTGTGGTATTTTATGTATGCAACATAAGTTAACAAAGATGGTAGCTTGACACAGTCTCTTATGTTCACTTAGAAAACCCTTACTCATTTTCTTCTTGTATGAGGGCCAAGGAGGGAAAACTGTTACATCCTTGAAAAATACTACACAGAGTGTTTCACCTGCCAGTCTAAGAGTACATAAATCTTGCCTGGAAACTTCCATTGTGATATTAAGAAAGTGAATTTCCAATGTTTAAACTACTCAGTTTCAGGAAGAGCTTCCCATTCCCCCACCCTCAACATCACACAGGAAAAATGCTTTGGGAACAATGGCAGGCTGGGTTTGCCTTTTCAACTGCTGTTTCATTTTTCAGCTTTTTGAGCTCTAAACCACAAATTAAGACAAATTTTCTCTGCCAGATAAATTATCCAAGATAAAACATACTGGGAAAATTATTGCTTTTGTCAATGGAAATTATTCAAACATTGAAAAGAACTGCTCTAAAAGACCACAAAAACTATATAGAACATTTAACCACAAAGTAGAAAATACAGTTATTGATATTTGAGCATTTTCAAATATCAACTCTTGTGTTTGCTATGCAGACATTTTAAACACAAAATTCAATATTTTGCAATTCTTGGGCTCCACCAGTCAAGCAACAGATCTTAAGGGGGAATGCATTGTATTTGAATTCCAGAAGAATAATCATCATAATAAACAGAGCAGTAAAGCCAGGCAGCATTCACAGAAAACAGAATGATGGGATAAATGAAATAAAAAGACCCCGCTTAAAATATATGCTCTACAAACAAGCTTTTTTTGTCCCATGCTGACTCTAAGAGGAATAGCATTTGTAAATTGGTGAAAACTGCTCCCTCAAAAGAGATGTTCGTGACAACATGTAAGCCTGCTGCTATCGATCACTCAACAACTATGATCAGCAAGTGATGATTACCTCGAGCACGGGAGTTTCTCCTTTCTGTGCAATCTCAGCATGAGAGACAAGCAGCCACAGAGCATTTGGCTTCATACAAAGCCACAAAAAATAATGCTCTGTGGTTAGCTGGAGCTACTGCTTGGGTTCCAGAACTTGCCCTAACATGAATGGTCTGAAAGGGATTACCACCCTGTCTGAGACTGGAGCAAGGTCAGATTTAAGGATTTAAGGATTCCTTTCCATACATTATGGCTCACAAACTCAACAGCCAAATAGCCGAATCAGCTCAAAAAATAAAGAAAAGAAAAAAGGAAAGAAAAGAAAAGAAAAAAGAAGCTTCATAGTTACTCCTGCCTTTGGGAGGGATCTACTCTACAGTCAGTTTGAATATTTTCCTGGCAAGATTCACCTCAAAGAAACCAAACCCTTGAAATCTATAAGGAATCCTTGGAAACTATAACAAAATTTAGTTGTGGCCAGAAGTCTTAATTAAAATTATTTAAAAACATCAAGAACACATAAAAGAAATGGGATAAAATTTAAAGATACCTGTTTCTTATTTCTTATTAAATCCTTCTTTTTAGATTTATTTCTTTAAATGTATGTGTATGAGTGATTTGAATGCATATACTTATATGTACCATGTGTGTGCCTGCAGATGTAAGAGGAAGGTAACAGAAAAGGGTGTCAGATCCCATGGACCTAGTGTTACAGAGAGTTGTGAGCTGCCTCATGAACACTGAGTAGAGGACCTGGACCCTCTGCAGGAGAAGCAAATGCTTTCAAACACCCAACTCTCCTCCCAGCCCACACTTCTCAACTTTAATAAGCACTTATTAAACAAAAGTAATCCAACAAAGGCATATGTATTGGGTTTAGAGGCAAATCCATGCCTTGTTGCTTATAACTGTGAAAGCTTAGGCACATTCTTTCCCACTGCGGACTCATCATTTATGTCACCTTAAAAGTGGGAGGATTTTAGCCAGCAGGAACAGAGAAAATGGAGTCAACAAACTGGCATGAAATAACAGTTCAGTAAGTGGCAATGCTTTGAATGAATGAGTAAAGCCTTCTTCCTACATGTTGTCACTAAGTCTGTCACATGTTGCTGAGGTTGTGGGCTGTAGGAAGTGGTGATGTTGGAAGCCCTGTGTTGCTGTCATTGATTACTGAGTCCTGATTTGGAATACTTGCTGTTATGGTATTGCACATTCCTCGGCGGAGATAGGATACCACAAATCAGAAGGCACTGCAGCCTAGCTTAAAGTGGCTTTAGATGTGGGGCTCATGCCCTCAACTTGAAGGCATGTTTTATGATTTGAATTACAGGTGTTGGGTTTAAATACCTCACACAAGGTTTATATACCAGCAGATAACTCCAAAGATTCATATATGGTGCAGTATTTCTATTATAAATTCCCAAGTAGAAAGAAGAAACTTAAAGAATGGGAGTCCCTATGTCTAAGTAATTTAATTTTTATTTTATACTAACATATGATAGCACAATTACAAAATAAAACCATGGTATGTATAAAATAAAAGCAGGCCTGACAAGTTTACTCATCCTTCTGTGAGCATGCTGCCTTCTGGCTGCAGCCTTCCATCTACAGTTTCAGAACCTCAAGATGGGAGTCAGAGCTCTCGAGTGTGCTCACCCTCATCATCTCTCTTAACAAAATTCAAAGTTCAATGAGGTGGTTCCTGTGGCATTCTCAGTACAGTACTGCTAGATTTAAGTAAACTTTCTTATTTCCTTAAGAGGAGTTAGAATTCAGTTATTATTCACTGTTTCAAATTGAGACTATTAATCGAAAGATTTGTTGCCATAAAAATTAGGTTGAAGGTTCCGCATAGAAACAGTTTTGAAAACTGTATGTGTGGAAGTGGGGGTGTTCCAGTTATATGTAGACACAATTGTGCTGGGGAATGAGTAATGTAATTATTGCACAGATGTCTTGAATTTTTGTAATACTTTAAAACAACTGAAAATGCCCTGCAAGACCATGCTATAGTCAAGAAACACCGTGTGTTGCTAATTAGAAGATGGACTCATAGGAAAGCCCGGGGTTCTATGTCAAGAGTATAACCAGTTATTAATAGTTTAATAGTTAAATGCTTAATATGTGTACATTTCTTTGTGCTCTTTCATTATTTTAAAGACTAGCACATAAGGATGTAGATGGAGTGAGTATGTGTATGCATCTGTGCATTCCCTCATGCATTTGTCCATACCTGGCTTGAAGAATATGTTACATCAAAAAGGATGATTTTGAGGGTGAGTGAAAAGCTACAATTTATAAAGAACCATGAAGAAAAATATACTACAGGATGACTTTAAAAAATACAATATATAAAATTTCTGTCTCTAAAACTGAAATAGCATATCATAATAACAGATACTTTTAATTACAACCTGTGGAAAATATGAGTAACTTTCTAGGTTGTTGTTAATTTCTAGACCTACAATAGTGGCAGGCATAATGCGGAAAATTTGCAGTTATTTTAAAACAAAAGGCATTTACTTTTGACTGCATATTCTGGTGAAGTTATGTGCAAAGCCATATGCTGCATAATACCTTCTTAGCCATTCTTTGTAGTTTTGGCAGCTGCTGATTAAGCAAAAGTTCCTCACTTCACTATTATCAAGTGCTACACAATAATTGTCACAATGTGTTGAAGTGAGTTTGGTTTTTTGTCATGTCCTTAACATTGATATTTTGTGATATACAATTTCCTCATTTTGTCACAAAGATAAATTGAAAATTCTTTAAGACTATCCAATTATTGAAATACAAAGAATTTTATTTCTATTATAAAAATGTTGACAAATAGAAAGTTACCATTATTGTATTAATTTTAAAGTGTTAATATTATCTATTATTTGGAATCAATGAAAATGTTTCTTACATCAATATAATATGATCATGACTTGAAGTTGTAACAGTTATTACATTTTTCTTACATACCTCAGGAACAGAAACTCCTGCAGTGGGCATAGTCTGCTGAAAAAGAGAAGTTTATATAAAAGCAGAAAAACTAAAGCTGAAAAGCAAGCACCAAAAGCACCAATGATATTACCATACCACCATATATCTGTAAGATGCACAAATTGGAACATACATACATACATACATACATACATACATACATACATATATATATATATATATATATATATATATATACATTCCCTGGATTAAATATTAAATAAATGGGCATCTTTCCACTAAACAAGGAATGCCCAAAACAAAACATGTCAGATTATGAAATAACTAATAACTTACCCAAAGGATGACTTCATTTATTCAGACTACACTGACAAACTCTCCTGTCAACTATACCAGCTTCCATTGCCTTGGTACATATGCTTCATTTTTACAGTGATAATTTATTAATCTCAATTTAGTTCTTAGCATAACCATTAAGAATTTTTTCTTTTACTTAAAAAGATAATTTTTTCATATAAAATATCCTGATTGTAGTTCTGATGGGACATGCCATTCTATAAATATGCTTCTCTTATTGGTTAATAAATAAAGCACTGTTGGCAAGCAGGAAGGCAAGATAGGCGGGACTAGGAGACAAGGAGGATTCTGGGAGAAGTAATAATGGGAGTCAAGATGTAAAAGTTGATATGTAGGACCAAGAGGTGTAAGAGATCTGGGCTCTCTCTGGTAAGATAAGATCATGTGGAAACATTTAGATTGATAGAAATGGGTTAATATTTAAGACAGAGTTAGCCGATAAGAAATGCTAGCAACTGACCAACAGTTTAATAAATAATATAGTGTCTTTGCATGTTATGTGGGGCAGATGTGGCTCTAGGACCAGTCTGGTGGGAAAGTGCTCCTAATACAGTTCCCCTTCTCTACTTCTCCCAATGTCTCCCAATCTCCCCTCCTATCAGGATCCATTTCCTTTCTGTCTCTCATTAGTAAACAAACAGGCTTCTAGGGGATAATAATAAAATAAAACAAAAGCAAATACATTAGAACAGGACAAAACAATCAAACATAAGGGCAAAAGCCGAAGAAAAGGAGTAAGAAACAAATATAGGAGACCCATTCATATGCACACTTGGGAATCCCATAAAAACACAAAACCAGTAGCCAGAATACATGCATAAAGGACCCATAGGGTAAAAATATATGTAAAAATATTAATGAATAAAAACATTTTATATATTAGAAAGCCCTGACACAACATAAGGAGATAAGAAACTTCCAAAGATGGCATTGTTTGTGAAAGAGCTCATTCTTAAGTGGCATAGACCTTCATGTAGCAATCCCCATATCTTTATGTCTTTCTCTTTATCAATACCAGCATTCCATTTTTCAGCATGCTCTCATCTCTTCCTATATACTCTGCCTTCTGGATGCAGGCAGAGCTAATGGTACTTGCCTCTTACCAAAATATTAAACATTACTATAATTAAATTCTATTGCTATTAGTAAATGTATTACAATTTGTAAATTCATTTACTATTAATAAATTGCACAATTTGTGTGTAATTAAATAAGTATCACCCTTTTATTTGAAAGTAGTTTGAAAAAATTAAACTATTCCAAAAATTTCATGACAGTACATCTTTCATTATCAACCACTGCCATGACTTTCTTAGATACCTTAGAAATATGTGTGCACATGTACATATATGTTTCTGTGTGTATTCATTTGCATGAAAGAAACAGAGAGAAAATTAATAATTTCCAAAAGCCTACAATCTTGTCTTATGTGAAACTTACTATACAAAATACCAATTTGTAAATATAGTTGAATCTCACACATACAAAATACTAAATAAAATTTCCTACCATTTTTAACTTTGAATTTCTTATGAATATGTATATATTTATATTTCATCTCTCCCTTCCTGATCTAGGCCATGTGAGGGAACATCACATAATGTTGCATTATCATGATGAGTATTAAAACAGCAGACTCACAGAACTTTGTTTTACTCTCGTAACCAGTAGAACTCTAAGAGCAGAAAATTGGCTTCTAACTCATTCAGTGTGTAGAACAGGTAAGCCAATGATGATGACCAAAATGTGTTCCTTTCTAACAAAGCTAGTTCAAAGCAATGTGTCAGCCATATTAACCATCTATCTCCTATTGATCTTTATCCAAGTTTATGCGAAGAATGAGGAACTGTGATACTCTTGAGCAACCAGAATGAGACCTTCCTCAAGAACCCTGAACAGAAAGAGTCTAACATTTGCAACTTAGATAAGTATAGTCTTCTTTGCTTGTATGAGGAAGCAAATTATTAGAAAGCTAAATGAGGTGGTTGTAGTGTAATAACTTGCTCAGGATAACAGCTAAATACAAAATGTATGCATCTAAAATGATACCCCATTTATATAACATCTAAATAAACAAATAAAAGCAATAAAACATATGTTTTAGAATACTCACACATATTAAAAAATGTGCAGTATAATACGTGATATATGGGGATTGCTATTAGTTTTCTTGGGTGTAAATATAAATATTTTATGAAGCAGAAAATCATGCTCAATAGTAGAAGGTGCTTTGCTGAAATGTTTAGGGATTTCATATCACAGTAGATTTGATTTTCTATAAAAATGCAAGTTAATAAGGAATAATGATTATGTTGATAGGTGTGCATAGTATATATTATGTATAAAGTATGTAGTATTTATACATATAAATGCATTTCATTCACATAAAATATATTAATTGGAGTCTACATTGAATTACATATGAAGAAACACTATAGATGCATAACAAAAATAATAGCACTGAATGAATATAAATTTGAAACTTCTTAGTATGCACTGTAATGTGTTTGGTAAGCATTGAAAATTTTGCAGAAATAAGATATATGTTATATTTGCATTCTAAATTTTAAAATATACATCAGATTATTTCCTAAGTGACATTAAAATAAAAATGTGTGCATTGTTCTGATAAAAGCAATAAAGTTTCTAGGTTTGGAAAAAGTAATGGCTGTACATAGATAGGAGAGAAACAATGAGCAAGCAAAAGTGAAGGCCTACTCCAAGTTAGGTGACAACAACACTTAAAACAGGAAGCTACCAGCTTGAGAATTTCTCTGCCTCCTAAGAAACACTTGTTGAAATGTAAAAATGATGAAATTACCCCATTTGAGAGTTCCCTTACAATCAGAATGAGTAGGTAAAGGGTTGCTATTAAATCAGCATGTCAGAGCTAGCATCTTATTGGGTTAAATTAAGGCCTCAAGCAGACAAAAAATCAGTTGCTACTTCGCAGAACACATTTTCAGATATCATATTACCACTTCTCCTCTCTTCTGTACATATTTTTAAATATTGAAGACAAAAAGAATAAATGTTTTAGTTTTGAAAACTATCTAGAGTATATAATTCTCAGTGTAATATATTTTTAATTAGAATTAATACAGGGACTGTATATTTTTATTTAATCAATGAGAGATGTGACTACAGAGGAATGTGATTGATTTTATTTAATCAGTTTCTTTTTAATATTAAATAGAATACACAGAACAGATAATTAGTTTAAAAGATGCATTTGCCTTTAGGGCACTTATTAAGTTCAATTTAATATTGAAGAAATTTTAAAATCCTATTATTCTTAAGTACGTATTAGGATATTTCTTGCCTTTGCATTTTCTAATGTAATCTAAATGTAATCACTTTAAATTGACAATTTAATCCAAATTGCCACAGGACAAAGAAAAATCTTTGCTGGAGATTATTGGAGGTTTTAGTTATTATTATAGGGACATAGTATTCATGATAAAAGAGTCATCAGTTATTACAGGACTAAAGTACAACTATCAAGATTAGGATTTAGAAAACATTCCATTTATATTTGAAATCTCTTAACTCTCTCATTGAACCAAACTAAACTGTTTTCAGATTGGAGGCAACAAGGTTTTCAAAATTAAATGGTTAGCATCAAAAATTAGAGTTAGAAAGAGAAACCCATATTGCAGATCAATGTTCTCAATTTCCAAATAACAGAAAAATAATCTAAATTATTGGAGCTTAAGATGTAGCTCAATGGTTATGAAGTTTCCTAGTATACTAAGGCCTGGGTATGATTCTCAGTACAACACAGAGAAAGGGAGAGGGGGAGAGAGGGAGGAAGGAAAAAAGAGAGAGAGAGAGAAAGAGAGAGAGGAAGAGAGACAGAGAAAGATGAAGAGAGAAATACAGAAACTGAGAGAGAAACAGAGACACATGCACAAAAGGTTACATCTGTAAGTAAGTTTCTAATTTCTGGCTGATGAAAAGTAAAATATCTTTAAATATTAATGAAGAATTCAAAAAATTCACATAAGTAAATAAAGAAAGTCACTGCTAAAGGGGATCACTGATTAACTCAGCACACCATTTTCTGCAGTGGTATTCTGAAAATAAAGTACCCAAATAAAATTATTTTAGTACTGTTTCTTTTCATTTGTTTTGTTTTTGTTTTTGTTTTCCAAGACACAGTTTCTCTGTGTAGCTCTGACTGTCCTGGAACTAGCACTGTAGACAAGGCTAGCCTCAAACATACAGAGATCTTCCTGCCTCTGTCTTCCAAGTGCTGGAATTAAGGTATGAACCAATACTGTTTGGCTATAAAATTATTTTAAACTGTTTGTTTTATTTTACATACAAGTATATATCATTGACTTAAAAAATGAATGGTAAGAGTGTTTTAAATAAAAGGAGAAAAATAAAACTATAAAAAAGAGAAATCAGAATAAAGAAAAATAAAGAAAATAATTGCTCATAAAGGGCACATGGTCTTAGCTAGAGGGGTAAAGTGATGTTTTACTCATACATTAGAATAAAACGTGTAAAGGCATAACTCATGAACTTTGTTTCTAATTTATGCCTTATAATATTGTGAACTCTCATATGTGTGGATTCAGACACACTATCATAACACACCTTTGTAAGTGGTTCTTTGCTCCTGGGGTCTTAGTAAAGTGCAGGTCAATGAAGTGTATGAGCCAGATAGACTGGAAATTATTTTTTATTTT